GCACTCCAGCCTGGGTGACAGAGTGAGACTCCAACTCAAAAAACAACAACAACAACAACACTGGTAATAATAAAATTAGCCAAGCATGGTGTCACACATCTGTAGTCCCAGCTACTTGGGAGGCTAAGGCAGAAGGGTCACCTGAGCCCAGGCGATTGAAGCTGTAGTGAACTGTGCTGGAGCCTGGGCGACAGAGTGAGACTGGGACCAAAAAAAAAAAAAAAAAAAATTCTTGGGTCTGCTAAATCAGATTCAAGGAATGTGGCCCCAAATTTAACACATCTTCCAGGTGACCACAGAGCCCCGGGAACACAGACCCACATCCGAGTCAGAGCAACTGAGGTTGGGTTTCCAGTTGGTTCCCAGAGGATGACCTGAGCCCCGGGCCACAACCTGGCAGCCACTGCTCCTCACACTCCAAGCCAGCCTGGGACTCCGGTGACACAGGGCCTGCGGGGTCTGGATTCTCAGGAGCCACGCATTCCCGTTTCCCCCCAGGTTGGTGTCCTGTTCTGCCACCGCCGAGCAGTGGGTGGAGCTCTCCGCAGCCCTGGAGGCCACCCGGACCCTGACCTGCCTGAACCTCTCAGCCACTGAGCTCCTGGATGAGGGTGCCAAGTTACTGTTCACGGCCGCGAGACACCCCAAGTGCTCCCTGCAGAGGCTGTCGTGAGTCTGCTTTAGGGACCTCCTGCTGATAGAAGCAGCTGACCCAGAGTTGAAACCCTGGCAGATAGCTCACAAATCCTGCTCCTCCTGTTTCTTCTTTTTTTTTTTTGAGTCAGAGCCTTACTGTGTTGCCCATGCTGGAGTGCAGGGGCACGCTCATGGCCACCACAGCCTCAACCTGCTGGGCTCAGGCGATCCTTCTGCCTCAGCCCCCTGAGAAGCTATGACTACAAGTATGCACGACCAAACCTGGCTAATTTTTTTTTTTTTTTTTTGTAGAGATAGGGTCTCGCTAGGTTACCTAGGCGGATCTCAAACTCCTAGGCTCAGACGATCTTCCCCCTCGGCCTCCCAAGTAGCTGGGACAACAGGCATGCATGCGCCACCACACCAGGCTAAGTTTTTGACTTTTTGTTGAGATGAGGTCTCACTACATTGCCCAGGCTATTCTCAATCTCCCAGGCTGCTCAGGCAATCCTCCTGCCTCAGCCTCCCAAGTAGCTGGGATTACAGGCATGTGCCACCACATCTGGCTAGTGTTTTGACTTTTTGTAGAAATGAGGTCTCGCTATGTTGCCCAGGTTGGTCTTAAACTCCTGAGCTCAGGTGATCCTCCTATCTCCGTCTCCCAAGTAGCTGGGACTACAGGTGTGCACTACCTCACCAGGCTAATTTTTTGGCTTTTTGTAGAGATGCGGTCTTGCTACGTTGCCCAGGCTGGTCTCAAACTCCCAGGCTCAGGCGATCCTCTTGCCTCAGTTTCCAGAGTAGCTGGGACTGCAGGTGCAGACCACCATGCCTGGCCACATTCCTGTTCCTTTATTGATGACCAGCACATGACTGAGAGAGGATGGGGAATTCACAAGGAGGGCTAAGGGCTCCGGCATTCGGAGTTGGCCGAGGAGATGGGACTTGGATGTTCTCACCCTCTCACAGTGTGTGCGATGCTCTTGCAGGTTGGAAAACTGTCACCTCACAGAAGCCTGCTGCAGGAAGCTGGCTTCTGTTTTGATTGTCAGCCAGAAGCTGACACACCTGTGCCTGGCCAAGAACGCCCTGGGGGACACAGGGGTGAAACTGCTGTGTGAGGGCTTGAGCTACCCTGAATGTCAACTGCAAACCCTGGTGTAAGTCCCTGTGGGCTGCTTGTGCGTGTCAGTGTGCATGCCCACATACCCTCTGGAGTCAAGTAGAACAGGTTGGGGGGGTGTTGTTTTTTGAGTCGGGGTCTCCCTCTGTCACTCAGGCTGGAGTGTAGGCTGGGTCCCAGTCTCACTCACCATCATGGCTCACTGTAGCTTCAACCTCCTGGACTCTCAAGTGATCCTCCTGCCTCAGCCTCCTGAATAGCTGGGATTACAGACACACACCACCATGCCTGGCTAATTTTTTATTTTTTGTAAAGACAAGGTCTTGCTATGTTGCCCAGTCTGGCTTCACACTCCTGGGCTTAAGCAATCCTCCCTTCTTCTACCTCCCAATGTGCTGGGATGACACTGCACCTGGCCCAAGTAGGGCAGTTAACGAACCCTTATTAATTCCTCTAAATAGCCCCTAGAATGATGATGATTGTTACAATTGGGGACACCCAGGAAGATGGTAATAGAAAAAAGCATATGATTTATACTTTGATATTTTTATATTTTATATTAACATTCTATAGAGATTTGGAGGATGTAACTGGTTTCCAAACCTGACTCTTTTGGGGGGGGTGGGTCAGATTCTCAGTCTGTCACCCAGGCTGGAGTGCAGTGGAATGCTCACGGCCACTGCAACCTTGACCTGCTGGACTCAGGTGATCCTTCTGGCTCAGCCTCCCAAGCAGCTGGAACTACAGGTGTACACCACCACATCTGGCTAATTTTTTAATTTATTGTAGAGATGAGGTCTCGCCAAGTTGCCCAGGCTGATGTTGAAGTCATGGGCTCAGGCAGTCTTCTCACCTTTGCCTCCCAAAGTGCTGGAATTATAGGTGTGAGCCACCTCACCTGACCAGGGCTGACTTTTTTTTTTTTTTTTTTTTATGAAATCTGTGTTCTTAGAACTATGTAACATAAGCTTGACTGGGCCCGGCAACTCATGCCTGTAATCTCAGCACTTTGGGAGGCCAAGGCAGGAGGATGGCTTGCGCCCAGGGGATCAAGACCAACCTGGGCATCATAGTGAGACCTCGTCTGTACAAAAAAGAAAACAAAATTAGCCAAGTGTGGTGGTGCACCCCTGTAGTCCCAGCTACTCAGGAGGCTGAGGCAGGAGGATCACTTGAGCCCAGGAGGTTGAGGCTGAAGTGAGCCATGATCGTGTCACTGCCATCCAGACTGGGAGACATAGGGAGACCCCAAGTCGTAAGTAAATAAAAACCTTGGCCCGAGGTCAGAGATCTTGGTTTGGGCACATTCCCTGGGAAGGGCTGACGGGCTGGGGTCTTTGTCTGTTTCCCCTTCACACGGCTGGTTTCTAGGTTGTGGTGCTGCAACATAACCAACAACGGCTGCGGCCAACTCTCGAAGCTTCTCCAGCAACAGTCGAGCCTGACCCACCTGGACCTAGGGCTGAACCGCATAGGCATCACCGGGCTGAGCTTTCTGTGTGAGGCTCTGAAGGACCCACTGTGTCACCTAAGATATCTGTGGTGAGTTCTGCTTCTCCAAACTTTAATCTGTACCTGGGATGAAAGAGCAGCGCAGCCTCCCAGCACTTTGGGAGGCAGAGGCGAGAGCATTGCCTGAGTTCAGGGGTTCGAGACCCTCCTGGAAACTTGGTGAGACCTCGTCTCTACAGCAAATCAAAAAATTAGCCAGGCGTGGTGGGCACACACCTGTGGTTTCAGCTACTTGGAAGGCTAAAGTGGAAGGATGGCCTGAGTCCAGCAGGTTGAGGCTGTGGTGGCCGTGAGCATGCCCCTGAACTCCAGCCTGGGCAACAGAGGAGACTTCGACTCAAAAAGAAAGAAAGAAAGAAATATCAGCATAGCAGCAGATCCCACCTGCTAATTCCCAGGAATAGTCTATCAAGAATGTATTCATCTATTTTTTGAGTCCGAGTCACTCCATCACCCAGGATGGAATGCAGTGGCATGATTATGGTTCACTGCAGCCTCAACCTCCTGGACTCAGCAATCCTCCTGACTCAGCCTCCCAAGTAGCTGGGACTACAGGTGTGTACCACCATGCCTAGTTAATTTTTTTTTTTTTTTTTTTGGAATAGGAGTCTCACTCTGTCACCCAGGCTGGAGTGCAGTGGCACATTCATGGCCACCACAGCCTCGACTTGCTGGGCTCAGGTGATCCTTCTGCCCCAGCCTTCCAAGTAGCTGGAATCACAGGCGTGCGCCACCACGCCCGGCCAATTTTTTTGATTTAATGTAGAGACGAGATCTCACCAAGTTGCCCAGGCTGGTCTCAAACCCGTGAGCAATCCTCTTGCCTCGGCCTCCCAAAGTGCTGGGATGACAGACTTGAGTCACCACACCTGGCTGCCCGGCTAATTTTTTAATTTTATATAGAGAAGAGGTCTCCCTGTGTTGTCCAGGCTAGTCTCGAACTCCTGGGCTCCAGTGATCTTCCCACCTCGGCCTCCCAAAGTGCTGGGATGACAGACGTGAGCCCCTGAGTTCAGCTGGCTTAGAGATTCTCACTGCTGTGTGGATCCTTCTACACCCACACATGTGCCTGGCATGGGGGACCGTGTCTGTCAGCACTGGGTGAAGTAACAAGCGGATTTCTGTCTCACCCACAAGGCTGCGGGGCTGTTTCATCACTCCCTTCAGCTGTGCAGACCTCGCCTCCGCCCTCAGCAGCAACCGGAGCCTTGTCTTGCTGGACCTGAGCCAGAATTTTTTGGGGTCCAGTGGAATCACAACACTGTGTGAAGCCCTGAGACACCAGAGCGGCCCCCTCCAGACACTCAGGTAGGGGCCTCGGCTCCCATCGGACACTCTCTGTGATCATCGGTTTTAGGGAAGAACAACACAGGAATTGGGTAGTGGTGGTGGTGGTGATGGTTTTTGAGTGGGGGTCTTACTCTGTCACCCAGGCTGGAGTGCAGGGGCAGATTCACAGCCACTGCAGCCTCGACTTGCTGGCTCAGGCCATCCTTCCATCTCCACCTTCCAAGTAGCCAGAACTACAGGCATGCACCACCATACCCAGCTAATTTTTTTGTTTATTGTAGAGATGAGGTCTTGCCTGGGCTAGTCTCAAACCTGTGGGTTCAGGCAATCCTCTCACCTCAGCCTCCCAAAGTACTGGGATTATAGGAATGAGCCACCACACCTGGCCCATGATGGTTGTTTTTGGTTTTTTTGTTTGTTTGTTTGTTTGTTTGGTTGGTTGGTTGGTTTGTTTTTGAGTTGGAGTCT